CATGGTTGTACGAGGGCTGGGATACTGCCAGGGCGCCCACACCTAGACAGGAGGACGATTAGGGTCCTCAACCAAAGCCTTTGGCTCAAAAGCCTAACCGCAAGGCAGCGGTGTTTGGCGGGGAAATGCAAATGCATTACCTTTTCTACGGAACAAGTCGCCATACATGTTCCAACCCCCAACCTGGAGGACCAGGACCAGGTTAGAGCGCGAATTTACTGATCGGAAGGTTCGTGGTTCGAACCCGACCTCTGCCACTCGACTCCCCCTGTCTATGCTTGGGCGACCTGGTAGTATCTCAGCCCTCGTGCCTCCTTCGTGTGGCATGGCAGCTAGGCACCGAAAGGGCACTACAGCTGGACAATATTTTTTTATTTACGAGAGCCTTGTCGATTTGGAATACGCAAGTGACGCCGCTCTCATCTTTTAAGACCAAAGCGAAGCACGAGCCCTGTTGAATAGACAGACACCACCATACCATCTTTTGGCATGTACCTTCAAAGTGCGAAGTCATGCCCCTGAACGTGAAGTCTCCGAGCACATCCTTTACAATTCAAGGAGAATCACTGGAGATTGTGGAAAACTTTACATACCTCGGTAGTTGTATTGGCTCTGACGGAAGTGTGTCTGATGAAGTCAGTGCAAGAATCTCAAAGGCTCGAATCACGTTCGCTAATTTGCGTCACTTGTGGCGTCAAAAAGGCATCTCACTGGATCTTAAGGGTCGTGTGTACCAGGCTACAGTAAGGGCTGTGTTGTTGTATGGGTGCGAGACATGGCCTCTTCGGGTAGATGATGTGAGGCGTCTTCAGGTTTTCGACCACCGATGCCTCAGAAGCGTGGCTGGTTTCGGATGGCGTCAGCGTATCAGCAACGAGGCGATTAGAAAACGGGTATTTGGTTGTGCTGCAGGCACCTCAATCCGGGAAAACATCCAGCATCATCGACTACGATGGCTCGGTCATGTGCTACGCATGCCAAAACACCGTCTACCGAGACGAGTGTTGTTCTCCGTGCCTCCTTCGGGATGGCGCAAACCGCGAGGTGGACAGCACATGACTTGGCAAAAAGGCGTGAAAGAGATCACGAAGAGTTTGGGTGTTGTTGGTGTTGTGCGACTTCCAGGATGGGGTCCCAGTGACCCCGTCTGTGCTTGGCTAGACGTTGCAAGAAATGGCGGCTAATCGATGTCATTGGCGTTCGTGCTGTCAGTTTCTTTCCAGATTGTCTGACTGAGCGGTTGGAGGTGCTGGTACCTGAAAAGGCTTACATAGGCGAGCAATAGGTCCTCTCTTTCACCCACCCTTATACTCTTCTTTTCACACTAGGGCTTTAAATATATTTAGACGAAGCTTATGATTGTACGGCAGTGAAGCATCAGTGTCAACACTGATGTTGCTGTCTTTGATGATGATGGAATGAATTCATTCAGAAAGGAAGATCAGATGAAAAACGAGTTATGCTCACGGTGCCATACATCCTATGCTGTTGTTCCATAGCAAGCGAAGTAGTTGACTACCATCTTTTCGGCGCTGGCTGGTATATTACCTTAGAGATGTAGTCCTACACTACGCCTCCAGTGAAGCGGCCAGAAGAATCTACCGCAGCTTACCGTGGATGAATTAGACGCCCGGTTAAAGGGCTTGTAACCCTATCCCTTTAAAATATAGACTGATGAAAGTAGGACCTTGTCGACTGGTTTGGTTATGTTGGATGTGGTCGACATGTTAGAGAGTGAACCCATCCGCACAGTCCTTTTCAAGATGTTCGCCAGCGACTGGCTTTAAGTTCACTTTCACAGTAAACTTGTTTTGCCCTGTCAGTGAGATGCTGAGGGGGGGGGAGATAGCTCAAGTGGTTAGACGCGAATTTACTGACCCGGAGGTCTGTGGTTAAAACCCCACCTCTGCCTCTTGACTTCCCCTGTCTGGGCTTGGGCAACCTGACAGTATCCCAGCCCTCGTGCTTCCTTCGGGTGGCATGGCGGCTAGACACCGAAAGGGCGCTACAGCTGAACGATTATTATTATTATTATTATTATCATTATTATTATTAAGATACTGACAGCTCCTGCTCTCGAATTGGCGTCTGGGAATGGAAATGAGCTGTTCTTTTCACAGTAACACCGATTTACCAAACCTCTGTAATGAAAACCCTTTAGGCCTCCTATGGTTTTTTGAGGAACTGTCTATCACGGCAAATATATTGTCTAATTACCACCGACAAGAATACCGTCATTCCTTAGTTAAGTAGGGCTTGTGTTTCTCGGGACCATTGGTAAAGATGTAAGCGGAGAACCATTGCGACACCACTAAATTGGTGGAACGGCTTTTAATGGAATTGAAACAATATCAAATATGCACTGCGATAATTGCTCTTCAAATCATTAAGTGGAATATTTTATGTACTCACTGTGGTAGCATACTTAGCTGATGCCCTGACATCTGAGAAATAAAATGCTCAGAGTAAAGTAGTCTACTCCTTCACCCTCTGTTGTAGAGCACCAAACACATGGAACGCACGACACGGTTGTTATACGAGGAAGTAAGGCAGCAAAGTTCGCTTGAGCTGACAAGGGAATAGAGAAGGTATACTGGAAGCGCAGTGGTCGCCCTGGCGTTTGATACATTTAGGTTGCTTAATTCCAACGCAGTGTTTAGAATACTCTTTCAGGTACCCATCGCAAAACCAGTAATGTTAGTCGTGAGTCCAACAATGATTCTCATGCACGACTTAAGGGGCGAGATGGCTCAGTGATTAGAGTGCGAATTTACGTACCGGAAGACCCGTGGTTCTAACCCGAACTCTGCCTGTCCACTTCCCCTATCTAGGCTTGGGTGACCTGGCAGTATCTCAGCCCACGTGCTTCCTTCGGGTGGCATGGAAGCTAGGCACCGGACGAAATTTACGATGTACATGTTTGCAAAGAATCTCTGACGATTAGAACGCCAAATAGCTATTTACGATTTCGCATCAGGCTTGCTGAAACAAGCCACCTATCGCCGCCTTAGATAACTGTATTAAAACAATTCCCATCCGCGTGATTCAAGCCTATTAATTTGCAACCGCATACGATCAGAAGTGAAATCACTTAAAAGGAATACTCTAAACGAAGTGTATATTATACCGAATTGCAAATAGTTCAACCCAACTCTTCGTTTAAATCTGTTCAAATCGAAAGCCAAGAAACGATGCGCTTTTTGAAATGTACACTACCAATCGGAACTGGAATATTTTCATTTTGTAGGTTAAGGAACCACTTGTCAAGTTTCAACCAGCCTCCAAAACGAGCTTTGAAATGTAAAACAACCTCGTAGGAAGCGCGTGGCGTAAACCAACTGGGTATTTTTTGCTAGTTAAACCAGGAAATACTACACACAAGAACACTCAACCACAAAAATAATTGAACCAAAAAACTAAACACTTGCCTTGTACTCCGCCGCAAGTCGACGAACACTCGGAGTCGCCAATACCTTTATCCTATTGGCTTCTGGCTCGATGCAGTCTGGCACTTCAACAGGTACTGAATGAAGCTCGCGCTTATCCGAATTTGAAGAGCTGTTGTCCACCTCAATATCTACAAGAGCTTGACCAACCAAACAGGTGTCTTGTGGCTTGAAATGCAAGGCACGGACGATACCATCATAGCGGCTGGTAATGGTAACAGTAGCTTTGTCACTCTGCACTTCACAGACGGGATCGAACTGCCGCACATTGTCACCTACTTCAACAAACCTGAAAATAAGACAATGAAAGTATGCTGACATCCAAAGTACAGAACACGGAGCTACTTGTCTCTTAAGGTAATATCTGAAAAATCAAAGAATAATCTGGATTTCATTTGTTTATTAACAAAGCAAGAAACAACAAAATCTCAGTTGTTCCGTGAACTTCCAGCGAACCGCCTGCATATGTTGGAATTATGGATTCAAAAAATCGGGGGCGTGGTGCGGTGTGAGATACAAGACCACATAAATTGGAAAAAAAGGAAGGCACGAGATAATAAGAATAAAGTGAGAGATGTTTGGCCCAAGGATTAGGAAAAATAGGAATAACCGGCCTCAGCAGGGTAAGGTGAGAGTGGAGAGACCAGATGTGACAGAAACCGCGCAACCGGAGCTCGATAAGGCTCGGTGATTAAAGCGCGAATTTACTGGCAGGAGGTCCGTGGTTCGGACCCAACCTCTGCATCTCGACTGCTCCTGTTGAGGCTTGGGCAACCCAGAAGTATCTTAACCCTTGTGCTTCTTTCGAGTAGCATGACAGCTAGGCACTGAAAGAGTGCTACAGTCTAACCATTATTATTGTTATATGATTATTATTATCATTATTATTATACCGTGCTGGGATATATGACGTAAAAGAGCAAGGATACTGCTAGGAACAATCGAAAAGCCAGGGTGGGGTTGCAACCGCAGGACTTCAAACTCGTAGGTTAGCGTCTGAGCCAGATTACTCGAGTGAGTATTTTCCGGACAGCGATGGGCTGCGAAGACAATTTTCTGTATTGGATGGCCCAGTCAATGAGTCACCTCTTCAGCTAACACTACATGTGATCTAGGTGCGCAGCTAAGCATTTCATAAAACAAGTGACAACTGATCTTCCGCTGGTTTATGTTGAAAACTACCCCGTGATGCTTCACCGCGACATGCCGTGGTATGAGAAATATGAAGTTGGAAGGAGAAATGAAACAAGGAGGGGGTCTAGAACTATCTTACCACAAACATCCGAGGTGCCTACACTTCCAAAAGGCAGTTAGACAACCTGGATGAAAACTGACAGCATGAATACCACTCGTTCAAAAATCGTTCAACAGCAGCACTCTTTCGGTGCCTAGCTGCCGCGTCACATTAAGGAGGCACGAGGGCTGGGATACTGCCAGGTCACCCAAGCTTAGACAGGGAAAGTCGAGAGGCAGAGGTCGGGTTCGAACAACGGACCTTCCGGTCAGTAAATTCGCGCTCTAACCACTTGGTCCAACTCTCCCCCATGAATATCACTAATAACAGTTAGCCACCACATCGTCTAGTGTCCCCATCCAAACACAGAGAGGGTAGAGTGGACCCCACCAAGTAAGACAAACAGCACCAACTACTTCCAAACATTTCGTAACCACCTTCATTCGCCAAATACAAATCAACCGTGGACCCAGTTGGACCACGTGGCCATCAGCCACCGGTGGAGAGCCACCATTCAAGACTGCCGTTCCTTCTGGGGCACACCACTTGATTCCGATCACGCCATGGTGTGCGCACGCT